TAAGATACCACCCGTGTTAAGAGACCACATGTGATAAGATACCATCTGTGTTAAGATACCGCCTGTGTTAAGAAACCACCCGTGTTAAGAGACCACATGTGATAAGATACCATCTGTGTTAAGATACCGCCTGTGTTAAGAAACCACCCGTGTAAAGAGACCACATATGATAAGAAACCACCCGTGTAAAGAGACCACATATGATAAGATACCACCCGTGTTAAGAGACCACATATGATAAGATACCAGCTGTGTTAAGAGACCACCTGTGATAAGATACCGCCTGTGATAAGATACCACCCGTGTAAAGAGACCACCTGTGATAAGATACCAGCTGTGTTAAGAGACCACATGCGATAAGATACCATCTGTGTTAAGATACCGCCTGTGTTAAGAAACCACCTGTGTAAAGAGACCACCTGTGATAAGATACCACCCGTGTAAAGAGACCACATGTGATAAGATACCATCTGTGTTAAGATACCGCCTGTGTTAAGAAACCACCTGTGTAAAGAGACCTCATGTGATAAGATACCACCCGTGTAAAGAGACCTCATGTGATAAGATACCACCCGTGTAAAGAGACCTCATGTGATAAGATACCACCTGTGTTAAGAGACCACATGTGATAAGATACCACCTGTGTTAAGAGACCACATGTGATAAGATACCATCTGTGTTAAGATACCGCCTGTGTTAAGATACCACCCGTGTAAAGAGACAACTTTAAATGTTCCCAAATGTAGAGATTCTTTTTGTGAATTGAACATGCATCAAGAACGTACCTATGTTAGGGAACCACATTGAATGTTTAAAAAAAATCATATGTTTTTCGTTAACTTCACCTGTATCTAGAGACAATCTGTGTTAAGAGACCACTTTTTGAACTTCGCATGCGTGGTCCTTTAATACAGGTTTGACTGTATAATAGATACCAATATTTCAACGCACACATGCGTTGCTAAAAGTGTAAAGATTCTTAGTGACGCGTGTTGTATCTCCAACGAAAACGGATTCCAATTTGTTGTTATTTTTCATTTTTATATGGACAAAGAGTTGCTTACCAATGTACAATAGCAAATCGTCATAGACGAAAGAAACATGACATCACAACTAGAACAATTTTATGACGTCACATACTTTCAATAGCATTTGCGATGTATCGATATTTTAGATTTCGAATCAGTCTATTCTCGTAGATAATAATAATATGATATAATAATAGTATACAACATTAAACTACTCTAAAGCGCTTTACAACATATGGATAATAGTATTTGTTATAATTGTGAAACAAAAACAAAGGCTTACAATTAAGCATGCAGATAAATTGATATAATCATCGCATTGTGCTCCTTAATGAATAAATAAAGGGTGGTATTGACATAGGTCTAACATTCTGACCAATTGCTGGGCCGATAACGGCTATTTAAAAATGACAGAGGGGCTAAGTTACGCCAAACTTAAAAACCTGTCGATAATGGTGAGACGTGTAGGTACTCTGAACTGCCAACAGACCATATGTTGATTTTCCTTCCAAAGGCTTCGCCATTAGGTTTGCTGACATCATACAATTTGAGAAGCCAATTCTGGCCAAGAAGAAGCCCGTACTGGTAAATCCCAAACCTTCAATATTCTTAGTAGCCCTGTTTTGTTGAACTTTTTCAAGCTCTCCTCCACTCTGGTACGCAATCGTTTGATGTTCTTGGCGCTTGATGTTCTTGGCTCTTGATGTTCTTGGCGTCGTTCAAGTTTCTTGGCGTCGTTCAAGCTTCTTGGTTCAAGCTTCTTGGCGTCGTTCAAGCTTCTTGGCCGTTCAAGCTTCTTGGCATCGATAAAGCTTTAGGCTTTACAATGTTAAAGTTCTAATTCAGTTCCTGCATTTTTCTGTTTTCTTTACTTTTT